CCAATGCGGAAGGACAAAGTGGGGGCACTGTTTCGGGTTGGAACGAGGATTATGATGTTACGGTGATGGAGGCCAATGCTATTTATGTGGATTGTCAAGTTTGTAACCCTGAAGGTGGAGCAACATGGAGACTCACCCGATATTACGCCTATCCAGAGACTGTACGAAGGAGGGCTGCGTGGGAGCTGATGCAGCGTTTGGCCGAAAACAATTCCTTTCCATGGCTGATTATGGGGGACATGAACGACAATCTTTATAATTCGGAGAAGAAGGGTCGTATACCTCATCCTCCGTGGCGGTTACGTGGGTTTAGGGAGGCGGTTTCAGCTAGCGGATTAAGAGATTTTCCTTTCGACGGTTACCGGTGGACGTGGGAACGTGGTAAAGGAGCACAAAATTGGGTTGAGGAAAAACTTGATCGGATCTTGGTAAATGATACATGGTGGGATAATTTCTGGGAGGCTAGAGCAACATCAGTAGAAGCTCCTATTAGTGATCACATGGCTTTATTCATCAAGATTCGACAAACTTACTATAACAGGGCGGAAAAGAGATTTCGTTTTGAAAATGATTGGCTGAAGGAGGAGTGTAGAACGATTGTGGCAAACAGTTGGAGAGCAGGTGAGGAGATGAAAGTGAGGGATAGGATTCTGTTCTACGGGAAAGAATTAGCAAAATGGGATGCAAGTAGAATTAAAGAGTTCCGACATCAAATTCAAGTGTGTAAAAAAAGAATATCTTGGTTGAGGGGCAAGGAGGATTCGGCTAGTATCACCGAATTCATTTGAACACGCCTGGTCCTGAACACATTGTTGGAAAAAGAAAACCAGTATTGGAGACAGTGAGCCAAAGAATTCTGGCTGAGAGAAGGTGATATAAACTCACGTTTTTTTCATAATGCAGAGAAGGCGCGTAGAAGGAAAAACAAATTGCAGGGATTGAGGAGGGAGGACGGAGTCTGGGTGACGGACAGGAGAGCATTAGGAGACATGGTGCAAAATTATTTTTCTGATTTATTTAAAGAGCAGGTTAGAACGGTGGCCGAGGAGATGTGAGGGCGGATGGGGATGGTGAGTCCGGATCAGAATAGATGACTGTTGCGACAGGTTACGGCGAAGGAAGTTAAGGAAGCTGCTTTTAGTATGCATCCAAAAAAATCTCCAGGTACGGATGGGATGAATCCAGCTTTTTTTCAAAAGTTTTAGGACATTGTGGGACCGGAGGTGATCGAGATGTGAAAAGAAATATTTAATTCTGGGAAAATTCCAAGAGAATTAAATATTACTAATATTGTATTAGTTTCTAAGAAGAGATCTGAAAATATGGGGGATTGGAGGCCGATAGCACTTTGTAATGTGGTGTACAAAATTTTCTCTAAATTACTGGCAAATCGAATGAAAGGATTTTTGGGAAGTTTGATAGGCGTAAATCAAAGTGCTTTTATGCGAGGAAGGTCAATTGTAGATAATATTGTGGTGGCTTTTGAGACACAACACTGTTTAAAAAGAAAGCAAGGAGGTAAAGAAGGGTTTGTAGCTCTAAAGTTGGATATGAGTAAAGCTTATGATAGAGTGAGTTGGAGCTTCTTGGAGAAAATTATGGGGCGGATGGGTTTCGACGCCAGATGGACTGGGCTGATAATGGAGTGAGTTAGCTCGGCTAGCGGTCTTGCTGAAGAATGTGGTACAGGTGATGCCTTCATATGATATGAACGTGTTCCTTTTGCCAAAGGACCTGTGTGATGAGAGAAAAACTTATGAATGGATTTTGGTGGAGAAGGAACAAAGTTGGATCAGAAATGAATGTGATGGAGAAGTTGGAAAAATTTGTGCAAACAACCAGAGATGGGCGGCCTGGGCTTCAGAAGACTACGGGAATTTAATTCGGCTATGTTAGCTAAGCAAGGGTGGCGGCTAATTAATGATAAAGGTAGCTTAATGGGGAAGATATTAAACAGGGGCGGGGTCAGAGCACTGGGCCAGATTGGGCCGATACAAAGAATATTATTGAAAAAAAATTACACGAAATTTTTTACACTAAAAATATTGGCATTTTTTAAATTTGGGGTGGGCCAGGGACTATCCTGGGCACCCCCTAGCTCCGCCCTTGATTCTAAAGGCAAGGTATTTTCCTAATTCTGTTTCCTTAATGCTAAGTTAGGAAATAATCCTTCCTTTGTGTGGCAAAGTATTTTTAGACACAGAGTTTATTTAGAATGAACACGAGGAGGCGAGTAGGCAACAGTATCGACGTGCAAGTGTGGGCGGATGCATGGCTGTCGGGAACGGATGATGGAAGAGTAAAGTTACATCGGAAAAACCGTTGGGAATCTGTGACATGAATGTTGCAGCGTTACATGATTTTACAGGAAAGAAGTGGAATGAAGACATAATAAAAGCAATTTTTAATGAGGGAGATAGAAGAAACATATTGAGTATTCCTATTAGTGATGCAGATCGTGCAGATGGTTATTGGTGGAAAGGGGAGACAAATGGAGTATACTGTGTCAAAAGTTGTTATAATTTGCAGATGAGGGAGCTGGCAGGAATGGCGAATGGCGTATGGAAACAGCTCTGAACATCCAAGGTACCTCCTAAATTTAAATACTTTGTTTAGCCGATCTTGGATGAGACGATTCCCACAGTTGACATAAAACTTATTATTTTTCGTGCCGGTCAATGAATCATAACTAACGTAATTCACTAGATATAGATTCACTAGATATATGAAAGTGGTTGGCCCTGTTTGGATAACAGCGTTCTAGCCAAAATGCTAATCATTTTAAACTTGAAAACGTTGCATTTATCCACGTGTAGCACCCAAAACGCTAGAAAACAAAGTGGAGCATTACTGGGGGTTTTAGAAGAATATGACTAAAATAAAACATATTTACATAAATATGACTATTCATTACTACAATGTGGTGTTGTGATAATTTAAGCTCAAAATTTGAACATGAATTACTATGATTTCATTACTACTCTAATCATTAGTCATATTTTTGTAAATCATCTCTATTTTGGTCATATTTATGTAATTATTTCATTACTATACTAGTGCACTTATCATCAATTAACGAAGTTCTATCAAAATCCATCTCTAAAAATAAAAACTGATTCGGGATAATCAGGTTTGAACTGATAATTACTTTCATCATGTCAAGGTGACATTCTACCATGGTGTCAAGTTTGAGAGAAAAAGACTTTTTATGTAAATACCTCCTATCAATCATTTTTTTTTGGAATTGTTTGGCAGCAATTTTTTATCAAAAGTTCAAACCACTTCAAACATTAAGCTTAAATCTTCATAAAGTGAACACTTAATAATCGAATTAAAAATCAATTTCATTCATAAATAAAAAAAAGAAAATTTTAGACGCAATTGCATAACTAGCTAGGAAGCTAAGGTTATATAGATCATCTCAGTTATAAGAACAATGCGTCAGTTCAAGGTCAAACTTGAAAAAAAACACATTGAATTAGATTGTACAATACAAATATATATACGATGCGACAATGCACTCCACACGAGTACATGACCATAGTATAATTTATTACTCCGTAAATACAATCATGATGATGATAATAAAGAAAAATATTTACTGTTTCAACACACACAAACATGTACATATTCATTTGGATGGGTAGCTTTTTACATTTATGCAATTTATACGATGGAACAAAATTTGATTTGTGAAAAATGTATTTAATTTACTAAAGGTCATACACAATAATTTATTAATATTGTTTTTCACTTAAATATAAATAAACTTGTGGTTATGATTGTTAAGGTCCAGGAGTTTCATCCTAAAAGGTCAACCTTATAGGATGAGTAGTCCAAAGTCTTATACTATCCTCCGTTCCATAAAAGTTGCAACAGTTTGACTTTCACGCGCAACTTTGACTGTAATTATATTTATTTACTTATTAGTAAACATTAAAAAAAGTTAATATATTGGAAATTTACATTAATACAAATTTATTAATATTTTTACATAATATTTTTATTATATATATTATTAGAAAATCGTAGTCAAAGTAAGGTGTGTGAATAGTGCAGAAATTCCAATGTTGCTACTTTTATGGAACGGAGGAAGTATAATGTTTTATAGCTTTCCGGTGTGGAACATATACTTTAATATGCCCCCTCATCCCGAATCGAGCTTGACAGCATCAGGTGTATAAATGGGCCAAACAGACACTTAGCAAGTTACCCTTAATCATGTGTGTTAAACAAGCAGTCAAACCAATATAATGTTTGAAGACCTGGTGTTTTATCCTAAAAAGTCAACTACATAGGAGGAGTAACTCAAAATCTTATACTACGTATAATGTTTTATTGTTTTATAGCATTCCGCTATAGGATGTATATTTTAACAATGGTCATTGATTTTATGATTGCAATTATGCTATATTATTATTTTATTATTACTATTGTTATTATTAAGTTTTTATATCCATTTATTTTATGTATTAACTTTTCACTAATATATTTGTTACACAAATATATTTTTAATAGGAATTAAGAATTATGTAAGAGCTCATCCTCCTCCAGAACCACCTCCATACCAAGAACTTTGTGGAAAGATTTTATTTCAGTATTATTTTTTCATTAATAGCGCTTGTTTTTGTTTTTGTCCGAGAGAATTGGTTTGAGTGTTTGGACTTTTGAAGTTCTTTTGATAGGTAGGGTTTTGGTTCCGATCGTTTTAGACCTAAATTTGCCCGTTTCAAGTTCAGCGAGTCAGATTTCTTTGTATGTAGTGATTGACTCTTAATCTACTCTTAGGGTTCATGTTTGGTTCTGTAAATTCTATCTTAAGGTTATCTTGTATGAGTTTTCGATTTTAATAAAACGGCCGCTCTGCTGATAAAAAAATAGGAATTAAGAATTAATCGATGTAAAATAAGAACCAACTCATTAATTAATATTTTGAAAATTAAAACTATGTAAAATAAGAACCAAACCAAGTCCAAATTGTGTGTTCCAAAATCCCACTCCTAACCAGGCGCAAGTTGGCCAACTTGGACCGTTGGACTTGTAGTCTTGCGATCGGTTTAGCTATAATTGGTTTGGTCTTTTCCGAAGCTAAGCTTCGTAACCGAACCCCAAAGCTTCGGATATCCTGTCTATAAATTCATTCGTCAACCAATAGATAACTTTAAGCTCCGTGTAGCAGGCAGGCAAAGCAGATATTTTCCATTTTCCATCTGAGGTAAAGCTTTTTTCCTAACCAGTCTTGCTGTTTAAGAATCTGCAGTTTCGATTTCATCCAAAAAAAAAGAATCTGCAGTTTCGATTCAATTTATTCCGGACAGTAGACGGATCTACTCATCGATGAAACTTTCTCTTGAAAACGGCTGATTGCTACTGTTTGATTTTGCTTTTGCCTTTAAGTTTTCCAATGAATAATTTCCTAACTACGGATTATATTTCCTGATCTTCTGTGTTCTTGCGATTTCTGCGGAGTTGTCTGAACCCTGAAAATTCGAAAATTTAACCTTGTTATGCCTTTCCGTGTAACTTGATCAAGTTTTAACGCCGCGTTCTTTTACGTTGACTTGGTTTTTGTATCTCAAATCTGCTTTATTGTGAGATTTCTTCCTGTTTTAGATGAATTACTTGCCCAGTCAAAGTCATCCATATACGTGTCTCTGTCTATCTGACTATCTGAGGGCTGTGTTATTTGTATCCCCTTCGTTTAGACTGATAATCATTCGTTAATACTGAACATATTTTAAGTTTAAATTTTGTTCGGATGATGTTGGGATCTCGGATGAAAAGTAAAAGTCCGATTCGAAGAGAGATTTTTATATGGCTGCTACATCTTCGGTGGGGTGTAGTTAGTTGTGCAGAGGTATTAGAATTGCAATTCAAAGCGAATCAGCAGAAGGCTAAAACTTCAATAAAGTTTTTCTATGATCAGTTTTGTGCTGTAAATTGAAATTGATGAGATCTTCTATGCTTCATGAATCGAGTATATTGTACCATATTTACAGTCCTTAAACCATTTTCCAGCTGGATTTTGCATTTATGTGTGCTCCTTTTTCAATGTCAATCTTGATGTGGATCTACATAATGCGACTTTGAATCTACATGGTTAAATACAAGCATTAATTTTGCTTCTATGAGTTCAGATCACAATTGAAAAAGGGAAGGATGGCTTTAGTGTCTAGAGGAAGATTTTCAGGATTGAACCCAAACGCTCCATTGTTTGTTCCTGCTTCGGTTCGTCAATTGGAGGACTTCTCGCCTGAGTGGTGGAACTTGATGAATTCTTCGACGTGGTTTCATGACTATTGGCTCAGCCAGCAGGAGGGTGCGGAGTATGACAACAACTACAATGATGTTGTTGGTTTGTTGCCCGATAACATTGATCTCGACGTTGATGAGGACATCTTGAACATGGAAGCTCAGTATGAAGAGTTTCTCCAATCAACTGCAAGTGAGAAGAAATCTCTCAATGAGTTCACTGTTATGCCAGGGTCAGGTATGCATGAGTTTTCTTTTTTGGTTCCGAAGACATGATTGTGAGGTGTGTAGTATTTCCATAAAGGTGTTTTTTTTTATTTCGTCAGGTTTCCCAAACCAGGCAATGCTAGAGAGTTTGAGCCTTCCAAAGGAGAGGGAGTTGAAATCATTTGTTGAGGCTCCAAAGTACTACGAGAAGCCGGCAAAGACTGTTAGCCCTAAATGGAACAATCGCGTCATCCATCAGCCTCGCTGAATGTACTTTCGCTCTTTTGTAATTTGATGATGGGGGTCACCCAATCATCTTTGATACATGTTGTTTCTTTTGCTTTGTATAGAGCAAGGTAGGTTTTCTCTCATGTAACTAGCCTTGTTCATGTGTAAGCTCAGCTTTAACCAGAAACAGTGTTTAGCATAAACCTGTTCTTCACAAAAATGTAAAAAAAGATTTGTAGTTGCATTTCTTCTGGTAAATGAAAGAAAATGTTGACCAATTGTTCCTCTGAATCTTCTTGGCTGGATTCAAGTCTACAGGCAGTGGTGTGCTATTTGGAGTTTGGCTTGACAAAAATCAAGTTTGATACTCTAATCCTAATATATGTAAAAAGAACATGTACATATTAATGAGATTATGAGATGCTTATATATATATGACGAAGATGATGAAATACGCATATGCTCTTGATACTTTTAGTTGATCAAAGTTAAATTTAAATAACTTTCATGTAAAAATATGAAAAGTAACACACTACTAGTATAAATTGAATAAGGGAATGTATAGTGGAAAAAGGTTACAAATAATAATATCTTGATTTGTAAGAGTTTAATTTGAATTGGAATCAAAATTTGAGAAATCAACATACATAAGTAACCTGTTTAATGTTAATTATACAAACGATTACAAGCATTTTTTATTCACAATTTTGACATATCTTCCTTTACACACACACACATAGTTACATACCTAGCTCATTTAAGCCCAAGCCAATTTGGCATCTGTGAATCAACCGACATCCATTAAAGTGTAACTGTGTAAGGCGACTAATTTGGAACAAAATAATGAAAAATGGACCTAAATAAGGCATGTTTTTAATGGTATCTGTTGACAAATGCTAAGAGCTTTTAATTCACCATTTTGAAATCTCCTTCCAATGAATATGTATCAAGCTCGTTTAGGCTCAAGTAACCCGACGTCCACTTTATAAACATGGTAAATAAAGGCAGTGGTTGAAAGTTGCAACCCGTAAACATATCAAGCAAAACTAGTTAGGCTATGTTTGCAACAGATTAAAAAACACTGTTCAGATTTTTACTACAAAAAAAGTGGGTTTAATGCACCAAAACCACTGTGATATGGAAATTCGGCGCATTAGCCCCATGTGATTTAAAAAATGCATCAAACCTCCTTGTGTTTTAATTAATCAAGCACATAACCCCTTTTATGAATAAATTTAACGATTTGAAAACCACTTTTTCTAATATTCTGATTGAATATGCAAGTAAATATGTCAAAATCTCCAAATCATACAAAAATGTTAATCATTTTTCTTTTATGAATAAATTCCACCGGGTTACAAACCAAGGCAGAGACGCCGGATCCAGCATTTTCCCTTCTGCCATTTGAGTTGTATCAATGAGTGCACACACACACAAATACACACACGACTCTCATCTTCCATAGCCACGGTGAAGAACAAAAAAAACGATGTAGACTATCCAAAATTGTATGGGTGTGCGGTATGTGTGTGTCTGTGTAACATCGTCCCCGAGTATTTGTACTGTACCAAATTATGTATTGAACCCTGAGAAATGAATAAAGGCATTTTTACGTAATTGTAAATTTTTGTCATTTCTTTTACGTGAATAGTAAAATTCATGTGGGGCCCACACCGGAAGTGGGGCCGCCCGATATTATCGGGACCACATATTATATTAATCTTGGACTAGATAATATGTATATGGTGGTGGATATCCTAATTGCTCTATAGCAATGACATAGAGTTGACCGGTTGGTCAAGCGGGGCCAAATTATCAGTATCGGCAATTTATCAGATAACAGCCCAAAAAGGGATTCCGGAGACTTCTAAATTAAAGTTGGGAATTAAAATAAAATATACTTAAAAATAGTCCGTAAAATACAACTTTCGGGACCGATTGTACACTCGGGTACACAAAGGGTTGACCTCCCACATAAGTGGGGGCCAACCCACGTCCTTGGTCTGGAAAACATCAAGGGGAGCCGCATGGAAGCATGGCAATGGGAGGCTGATTGGTAAGGAGACCAATCAAACCAACCAAGGGCCCCTCCTCACATTATTTTGGGATATTGAGACAAAAGTGAGGGGTTCCCTCCACCCACCTCCAATCAGTTCGGCCATCCCACAAGAGAGGTGAGATAAGCTCTGTAATACTCCATTCTTTGCAGACATTTTCGCACAAAGCTAGGAGAGGAAGAAGGAAGGGAAGAGAGAAGAGAAAAGAGGAGTTTAGGTGGGAAAACTTGTGTTTAACAAGGTAATGACTCCAATAATCCCATTTCTTGTTCTTCAATCATTTTATACGATTATACAATCATATTCCACACCCTAGGATTGTTCTACACGTTTGGAAGTTTAGAATGAGGGCTTGGAAGGTGGTTCTAAGTCCAAGAACGGACTTGGAAGCCAAAGTGACCGGTTCGCCGGAAAATAACCTTTTTGAGGTTATTTGTATTACTATGGGTTTTATGATGATAAAACCTTGTTAGTAACTTGTCTAAGGTATTCAAGGAACTTCCACGGAGTTGAAAGGGTCGACGGAGTTGTCGCCGGAGTTCGTTGAAGTTCGCCGGAGTTTCACCGAAGTTAAATCGGGAAGGCTAGAACTTCATAAGCTTCATTAAGGTGAGAAGACGGATTTATGCTTTATAACTTTTGCGTGAGGCACTAGATTACCTAAAGTAATCAAAAACATGTTTTATGGAATGATTAAGAATAATCAAGTGTTTGCTTATGCCATGATTTTGCATAAAACATAGTTGAAAAGCATGTTATGTAGGTTTGGTGATTAAAAAGGTGATAACTTATTATGTGTGGTGTTCCAGGGATCCAAAATGATATTTTTGGATCAAGGACGTCAAGAAGTATAAGTGTATAAAATTTCACGTTAATCGGACTTCGTTTGGGCGGTCAAACGAGCGTTGACCGCCAAGACGAAGGTGATACCCGACCGGGTATGGGTAAATACCCGACCGGGTTTTGATTAAAAATGGCTCCAGAAGCCACTGCCACACTAGACCCGACCGGGTATGGGTATAGACCCGACCGGGTCTCAAGTAAAGTTGGCTCCAGGGGCTACTGCCTCACCCCACCCGACCGGGTAAGGTTGGATACCCGACCGGGTATTGGGTTATGCTCAGAACGGGCAGTTTTGAGTAGGTTAACGTGGGCCGTTCGGGTGGGACCCGCCCACGTTGGATCCTAAGGATTGTTATATGACTATAGGGCTAGGTATTGTCCATAGTTGAAGGAATGAAAGGTTAGCCATATCCAGGTTAGGATTTGGTAGAGGATAGACTGAGGATTGAGTGCCCTTGGACGGTAAACGATCCAGAATACTCCAGGTGGGGTCGAGTACCCTTGGATGGTAAATGATCCAGAATACTCCAGGTGGGGTCGAGTACCCTTGGACGGTAAATGATCCAGAATACTCCAGGTGGGGTCGAGTACCCTTGGACGGTAAATGATCTAGAATACTCCAGGTGGGGTCGAGTACCCTTGGACGGTAAATGATCCAGAATACTCCAGGTGGGGTCGAGTACCCTTGGACGGTAAATGATCCAGAATACTCCAGGTGGGGTCCAGTACCCTTGGACGGTAAATGATCCAGAATACTCCAGGTGGGGCCGAGTGCCCTTGGACGGTAAATGATCTTAAATACTCCAGGTTGGGTTGAGTGCCTTGGACGGTAAATGATCCTAAAACACTCGGTAGTATGAATCGAAGGTAGACTATAGCTTGTGAGCTAGGCAACCGGGAAAGGAGTGAGAAAAGTCAGGTAAGAACTTTGTCTCTAAAAGACTCTTTAAGGTAAATGACCTACGGGTTGAGTATTTTACGAGTATATATACAGTATGTATCATCGGGTGGATGAGGGACATCTATATATATGTATCACCCTATTTTTGGGTCTCGTGTCTGAAACATTAGTTAATCTTCATATAGCCTGCTTGTCACTAGTACTTCTATGGAGTACTGACCCCTCCGGGGGCCCTCACATTTTTCAGGTTGAAGCTAGAGTCCTACTACCTGCACCTTTGCCTAGGGTGATCATTCGAGGAGGAAGACGTGGTTCGTGCTTCCATTCGTATTTTTGAAATTTATAAACTGCTCATGGATTTTTGAACAATGTTTTCATTAAAACAGTTGGGGCCTGCGTGCCCGTGTTTGCCACGTGTGGCTAAGTATCAAACATATTATTATTTCCGCATTTGTTTTATTATGATATTGATGTTGATTGTATGTGTTTACTAATCGGTGTGGCAATAGAATCAATCGGACACCTTGTACAATTCAATAGGGATGAACTGTTGTTGTTCTTATCGGGTTGTACGGCGGTTGTCTACGTGGCTCGGATGCGGTCCGGGGCGTGACAATTAAGTGGTATCAGAGCCATCGATTTCTAAACTATATAATTAACCTCTCAATATGGTTATCCTCAAAAAGTTTTGAATAAAACCATGAGCAAAAGTTTTTGTACTTAAGGAACCGTTGGAAACCAAGTTATTGACCTCTTATTGTTAAGACGGTACCCTTAACAGTTTGTTGGCCATAATGTTGGACCAAGTGGTGTCTTTTGTACTAATACGTCAATTGACATTGAAACGAGTCTAATGACTCATTCCTTATTTCTTTGAGAAATGGAGTGTGGACGCAGGATAACTAGGAGGAACCCGACAGGGCATGTGCCGGGGGCCACCGGGCATGCCACTCGGGCGGAATCACGGGCCTCTAGGAGGAACCCGACAGGGCATGTGCCTTGGAGTTCCAGGGGAGCTGGGACAATCAGTTGGCTTTAGTGGAATTTGCCTATAACAACAGTTATCAGGCGAGTATAGGCATGCCTCCATACGAAGCATTGTATGGGAGGAAATGCCGGACACCATTGTGTTGGGACGAGGTCGGCGAGGCTAAGCTCGAGGGCACCGAGTTAGTCGAGATCACTAAGGAGAAGATAAAAGTCATTCAGGATAGGCTCAAGGCTGCCCAAGACCAGCAGAAGAGCTATGCTGATAAACGTCGGAGGACGTTGGAGTTTGAGGTTGGTGACGAGTTATTTCTGAGGGTATCACCTTGGAAAGGGATCATCAGGTTCCTCAGTCGGGGTAAGCTTAACCCACGTTACATAGGTCCGTTCAAAATCCTTGAAAGGATTGGGGTTGTAGCTTACCGACTTCAGTTGACTCTGGAGTTAGAAAAGATTCATAATGTATTTCAAGTTTCTATGCTCAAGAAGTATGTGTGGGACCCGTCACATATTCTTGAGAAACCACCGGTGGAAATCCGAGAAGACCTGCACTATACTGTGCAGCCGGTGAAAGTCATGGACCGACAGGTAAAGAAGCTAAGGAGTAAAGAGGTACCGATGGTAAAAGTACTTCTGAAGGGTGATCGTGTCGAGGAGCAAACTTGGGAAGTGGTGA